GCTGTGCGGCGTCCGTGCACCACCACCACCTCGTCCGCAGCGGAGGCGGGCTGGAAGCCACTGAGGCACTGCACGGACTGCAGCGCCGGGCCCGACTGAGGCCGACCCCTCAGGTGGCCCAGCACTACCCGCAACCTCAACATAGCACCGTTTGTGGAGCTGCGCCACTGAGGAGCAGAACACCGAGGATCCGAAAGAAAAACCACCCCCACGCGCAGACGCAGACCGCTCCCCGCCGGATCAGGGTCCCACGCGGACCGCCCACCTCCACCACAGCCAACCAGAAGAAGGACACGCCCTCACCGCCAATCACTTCAGCAAACAAATACCGCCTAGCTCTTTCCACGTAAAGTCTCGCCTACTTGGCTTTCGGCGCAGCCCAGAACATTTCCCCCACTTTCTCAACCTTTTGTTGCCAAACCCGAGGCCAAATTTTAGTGTTGGCGTCTAGGAGGGAACCTGCCCTAAACCGGGACCCCCCACCCTCCAAAGACTGGCACACCGCCCGCAGCCAAACGGAAGCCTGGGGCGCCTGGATCCTGCGCGCGCTTTCTTGCTGTGTATGCTGAAGCAGTCGGGACTGTAGCTCTTGTTCCACTTCCTCGTTAGCGCTACAGCGCCCCGGAGCCCACGACCTGAGCCCGAAGACCTAAATACGTCCGCGTCGCCGAAATCTGCTCCGACGGGGTTGCTTATCTCGAGGTGCCTTTCCAGAAGACTGAGGCAATTTGGGACTCCCGGACTGCGCGGAGAAAGGATTTTGCTAAAATGCCCTCTTATTTCTGTAGAGAGACCGCCCTACACTTACACCAGTTTTGCACCCACGTGGGTGATCTGATCTGTGCTCACTTTCCCCGCTAGGAGGGGTCTCTACCAAGACAGAAGATACCCTATATCCGGGTGCCTGCAACGTGCTTGACACTGCAGTAATCAATAAATAAATACGTGTTGAATGAGTGAACGAACCGGGGCTCCCAGGTCTGGACTGCTATACTAGGTGCTCCCCCATTCTAGGGCTAGAACCGTGTGTTTACCTGAGACCTTGGAGTACTACTGGTCTGCTCCAGACCCGGAAGGACAGGCTAGCCGGTGAATCTCAGCCCTGGGGAATAACCCCCATACACACCCATACTTTGAAGGCTCAAACTCCAGACTTTTGCGAGCCCCTTCCCATTCTGTCCCCATGCACAGCTGGTCTCTCCTCGTGCTTCTAAGGGCAGGATCGAGTGGTCTCAGGATTTTGTGGTCCCAGAGAGCAGGGTGATCTGGTGCCTCCCCCAGTCCTCTGCCATTTTCGACGGCAGGACCCCTCCCCAAGGGAGGGTTTCCTACAACCCCTTCGAGGGCCGCCTCCTCTCGCCCCCACCCCAACCCAACTACCAGCAGAGCCTACAGCGCAGGTCAGTCGACCTCCCCAAACCTCAAAGGGCGGGTTTTGAGTTCTCACGCTGCCGCTCCCTGACCGCGAGAGCAGGAAGGGGCGCCCCACCCCTGCACCCTGCGCGGGGCGGCGCTTCTCGGAAAGCAAGAGCGGGCGGAGCGAGTGGAGCCACAGAAGAAGGGGAAACCGGGACAGCGACGCGATCCGAGGCTATCTCTCGGCAAGCATGGCTTTGTGCCTCCCTGGTGGGGGCTCTTCGCCCCCCGCCGTCTCCAAGTCCTCTCTTCCCCTCGCTGCGCTCAACGTGCGAGTGCGCCGCCGCCTGTCGCTGTTCCTGAACGTGCGGACGCAGGTGGCGGCCGACTGGACGGTGCTGGCAGAAGAGATGGGCTTCGACTACTTGGAGATCCGACAGCTGGAGACGCGTCTGGACCCCACCGGCAGCCTGCTGGACGCCTGGCAGGGGCGCCCCGGAACGTCAGTGGGCCGGCTGCTTGAGCTGCTCGACAAGCTGGGCCGCGAGGACGTGTTGGTGGAGCTGGGGCCCAGCATTGGTGAGGACGCCCGCTTCCTGGCCTATGTATCCTAGTGGGGGAGGCTGACCTCACCAGCCTCGGCAGCCAATCTCATCATCATGGACCCTCCCTCCGGAGAAGGGAGGAGGCGTAGGGGTGGGATAATCTGGGGACAAGCCTGCACTGCCTTTCAGTGTCCCGGACCCCATTGGGAGACGGGGAGAAGGTAGGGGATGAATTTAGGCAAAGGCTTTTGGGTTGGGCCAGAAGTCAGAATCAGGCTTCTCTGGGGGTATAAGAGCTATGTCAGGCAGAGCAACACAACAAGTAAGGAAATAGCAGCCTGTGGCTGAGGAAGCCTCAGGTGCCTGCGAAATGCAACCCCTTCTGCCACTCCCGGGCATTCCCATAAGGTAACTGCACAGGCAGTCAGCAGGTGCACTTTTCTGGTTAAGGGCTGTTGCCTTCACTGAGACATAAACCTGGCCTTTTTTGCTAGTCCCCTGCTCACACCTGTCCTAGCTCCTGGAAGAAGCAGACCTTGTTTCCATTGTAGGGTTCTAGGAAGGGATCCAGGACAAGGGACACAAGAGACACAGCCTCACCTCAGTGGCTTCCCAAATGTCTGTAACACCACTGACATCCCTTTGGGAGGACTTGAACCCTGGGGATGGGGGGGTGGAAGGTATGCTCACCTTGTCAAAGCTGTAGAACTGACCAGTGTCCAGAAGGTGGGAGGTGGGACAAGGGCTGCATCTTGACAGAGGCAATTTAGTTTACTGGGTGGACGGTGTGGTGTGGAAAAGGATTTTGCAAGACCTGGGGTGGAGGGTTGGGGCCCCCTTGATAGACTGACTCACCCTATCTCTTCCCTTCAGAGGAGGACTGCCAAAAGTACATTTTGAAGCAGCAGCAGGAGGAGTCTGAGAAGCCCTTGCAAGTGGCCAGAGTAGACAGCAGTGTCCCACGGACAGAAGAGCCTTTTGGCATCACCACACTTGATGACCCACTGGGTAAGGGACCAACACTGCTCCATGGCACAGACAGGACAGGTGGGGCACAGGGCAGTGTGGAATGCAGAGCATGGATGTTGCAAGCAGATGGCTGTGGGTCCTTGGGAAATCACTTCACTTTTTTGAGCTTAACTTTTCACACCTAAAAAGCGGCATAACAGTCTTATATCTGAATTTTTCTATTTCGTGAAATGATGTGTCTGTGTCATGGCTAACTCAGTCTTGGCCCCCAGTAGTGCTCATCTGTCTCTCTTCTGTGGGAAGGGCACTTTTGTGTGTGTGTGTGTGTGTGTGTGTGTGTATGAGAGAGAGAGAGAGATGTCACTGTGGGATGGGAGCCCACAGCCAGGTTGCCTAGATGGGAGACTCCTGGCTGGACTCCTCCCTGGGAGTCTGTGAGCTCTAACCATCACTCTTGTGCTCTGCACCCAGGCCAGGTGCCAGAGCGATTTGATGCCTTCATCTGCTACTGCCCCAGTGACATCCAGTTTGTGCAGGAGATGATACGGCAACTGGAGCAAACAGACTATCGGCTGAAGTTGTGTGTGTCTGACCGTGATGTCTTGCCAGGCACCTGTGTCTGGTCCATCGCCAGTGAGCTCATCGAGAAGAGGTTGGGTGGAAGTCCAGGGGGTAGGCGGGTGATGTACAAAACTCAAATGCTGGGCTTTTCCTGCCTACCCTAGCACAAGAGGTCTCCCCCACCCTGAGGCTGTCCCTGGGGAGGTATGCAGAAGAGAGTTGCCATGGTCTGCAGCCTGCTCTTTCCCTTAGGTGCCGCCGGATGGTGGTGGTGGTCTCAGACGATTACCTCCAGAGCAAGGAATGTGACTTCCAGACCAAATTTGCTCTCAGCCTCTCTCCAGGTAAGCTCAGCCCTATCCTGGCCAGAGAGGAGTGGGTAAATGGAGCTTTAAAATACCAGGCTTCCTTCCCTCCCTCAGGGACATAGAATTAGCACCAAGGAACTCCTACAGGTATCTGTATCCAGGGAAGTGTGTGGCTGCACCTGTATGCCTCTCTGTATGGTACTACCTAGCTGAGGAAGAATTGGTGCTATTCCTTGGTTTGGGGACTGGAACTATCTCAGTACATCCTGGTGACAGCACTGCACCCTTGGTTTGCAGGTGCACATCAGAAGCGACTGATCCCCATCAAGTACAAAACAATGAAGAAAGAGTTTCCCAGTATCCTACGGTTCATCACTGTCTGTGACTACACCAACCCCTGCACCAAGTCTTGGTTCTGGACCCGCCTTGCCAAGGCCCTGTCCTTACCCTGAAGATAGCTCTGGGACCCTCTTGGTACCTGCATCTGTCTGCCTATCTGTGCTCTTCTGCCCCCACCCCTTCTGTGTTTGTAGGGGGAATCTGTGCTGTACATGCCTCTTCATCCTAGGGGTGCCAGCTGCCGACACATCTGCATGGACACCATGTCTTAGGTCTTGCATGAAACCAGTGGCTGCAAGTGGCCAGGGCAGTGATGAACAGGATCAGTTGAGACTAACTGGAGGACCAGCCACGCCAACTCAAAGCCATTCATACATCTTCAACCTGACTTTCCCCATCTGAGAAATAGGATGTGGGGCTCAGGTAGTCAGGTACCTTTGAATCACTGCACAAAGTGGTGAAGCGGTGCCCTGGATCTTTGCAGGAGACCTGGCCTCTCCAAAACTACATAATGACTGTTACCAGAACTATGGGCCAGCTGGTACCTTGTTGCCATCCCACATCTTCCTCCCTCCTCTTTATAGGGCAGATGGGGAAGCAGGCCAATCCCAGTGGGGTATACCATCTTGAGCCTGGTTCTCTAATGGGGCCTCCTCTCATCTGGATCTTTGACTCCTCCTAGCCTCTGCCCTGCCTTCAGCAGTGACAAGTCCCCAAGAGCCCTGAACAGTCCCTTGAGCATCTAGGGACACTTTTTACTTCCACCTGCCCAGATACCTGTGAGCACACCTGTTCTTTGGAGCCCAGGATGGGATTCTGGCCTCTGGCATATCCATCAGATACGTGCTCTGGGGCTGGGTCACCAGGGCAGTGTCCCATGGACCCTTCCTCCCTGGGCCACCCGTAGAGAGCTCCCTTGATCACCTTGTTTGTTGACAAGCACAAGAGTGTTCCACCCCAAAGCTTATGGGTCCCCGGCCACATACCATCTTGCACACAGACACAGGTAAATGCATAATGCATCTCCCATAAGTATGAATCTGGGGACCTGACCATGTTTCTGAATAAAAATGGGGCACTTTTGATTCCTCTTCTCTACTCATTGAAACCAAACTCTTCAGTGAAGTCCAGGCAGAGAAGGAGGGCTGCTCAGCTTCACACAGGAAGTGGGCTGTAGGCCTGGCTGTTTTCTCCTCCGTGAGGCAGTTTGTACATTCCCATCAAGCTGTGTGTCTGGGAGAAAATATCATGGTCCCAGGTTTCCGTGTCCCAGGGCAGATTCTAGAATCCCACGTCAATAGTAAGTAAGTGTCTTCTTTTCTCTGCCTTCAGCCAGGCTGAAAACAAGGTACTTTCTTCCCTTGTGTTGGGAAGGAACGGAGGCCTAGTCTACACGGTCTTGTTGAAGCACTTAGATGCCGTGCATCTGTCCCCCTTTAATATTGGGCATTTTAAAGCAATTTGGAGATAGGATCTTTACACCTGTTTTATGTGCTTCATAAGAATTTCAAAGACATCTGAGAAATGTCCATGTTTGTCATTTCTCCTTCTGTATTCCTGGTTTATAATAAAGAATATTCTGTTTTGGGAAAGTGCATTTGCGTGTGTGTGTGTGCGTGCACATATGTAGGGTTTCAAAGCAGTAACCTGGGGTGAGACTTTCCCAGGTAGGGGAGCTGGTCTGTTGGGCAGGTTTCTATGGGGGTGGGCAGGGGCTTCCAGACAGCTGGGCCCTTTCTTTCTGGCCCAGGCCTCAGCAGGGTGGCAGGCAGATCCAAGAGCACTGGCCTGAGCCCCAGATTCTTAGAGCCTATTTCCTCTTGCCAGGCTGGGTCTTTTTTGGATTCTGCCATACCTGGGTCCTGGCTCCTCCAGTGAGCACAAACTGCCCTTCTAGGTTCAGGGGCCTGGGGAACCCCACTCTCTTCCCACATCTCCTGAGGACTCAGCTGTTACAGATGTCTTCCTTGGTCCTATCTGTGTCAAGCAAAGCTACTGACTATTTTTGAAGGGAAATATACTATTATTTCACTGTTCAATCTAGAAGTTTTTTTATTTTGTTTTGTTTTGTTTTGTTTTGTTTTTTGAGATAGGGTTGTGCTTTTTATTTCAGGCTGGCCTTGAACTCACTGTGTACCCCAGGCTGACCTCAAACTTGCGGCACTCTTGTCTCAGCCTCCCATGTGCTAAAATTACAGGTATGCACCACAACACCCATCTCGATTTTGAAAATACAAACAACCAAAAACTCTGGCCATAATCCTAATCCTGGAGACAAACTTCAGTGCCATGTCAGAGTGCTGAGGTGAATGGAGTTTTCCCTAAGGGCTCCTGGGCCACCTTCCTGCTATGGGCTCCCTGGCCTGGCTCCTGGTCTTTGGGCACAACTGAGAGGGCTCTGTGTATCACAGCATCCCTGAGGCAGGACTTTTCCCTCCATTTTCCCCTGGGACCTTCTCCAGGATCTAACTTGTGCTGCCCACATCCAGGGAGATGGACCTGGGTTTGGTGCCATTGGGAAGATTCACTGCTATAATTTCCAAAGACAAAAGCAGGAAGTTTTGGAGAGTAGAAACAAAGTTAAAATATAAAAGGGCAATTCAGTGTGAAAATATTATTATTTTTTTCTCTCTCTCATTGAGTTTATTAGTACATTTTAGGTAGACAGTACATTCGTCATTGGGATCTTGATCTTGGTTCTCATTATTTCCCCTTGTCTCTGCCCTCCCTTCACCCCCCCGCTCCATTCGGTGTGAAAATAGATGTGGACTTTTCCACAAGTTATTGACAAGAGAGAGAAAAACAGGGATTTCCTGCAGATTTAGTTATAACAAGATGTAATAGTATAAGGTTACTTTGTTGGCTTGTGATTTGCACAGACCAAGTGTAAAAAAATAATCTCAGGTCAAGGAGATTCATCCAGAATTTACAGTTATCCTCCTCTTATCTATAGGGCACATGTTCCAAGGCTCCGGTGGATGTCTGAGATGGTAGATATCTGAGATTGTAGATAGTACCAAACCCTCTATAGAAGTATGGTGATATCTTGATTTGGGTCTCATTGCCAATACAGTTACAAAGTGATCAACAGGCAGGCAGTGTGCACATCATGGAGACATTAGACAAAGGGAAGGCTTCCTGTCCATTTCGGAAGAAATCAGGACAGCGAGAGATTTCATCCTGCTACTAGAATGATGCTCAACTAAAAAATCAAAAATTGCTTATTTCTAGAATTTCCCACTAATATTTTCAGACCAAGGTTGGTTGTGGGTAAATAAACCTTCAGAAGGGGAGATTACAGTTAATCAGAAATAGTATGTAAAAAAAAAAACCCTATATAGCTCAATAACAAAGAGACAGTGTTATTAAAAAATGGGCAAACAACTTGAATAGACATTTCTCCACAGAAGGTGTACAAATGGAAAATAGGTACAGGAAAAGGTGTTCAACATCAGTAGCCAGAGAAATCCAACCAGAACTACATTAAGATAGGTGCCACATCACAACCATTCAGATGGCTACTATCAAAAGTCCAGAATACAACAAGAATTAGTGAAAGTGAAAAGAAATTAGAATGTTGAGCACATCTGTAATCCCAGCACTCAGGATCACTGTGAGTTTGAGTCCAGCTTGGGCTACATAGTGAGTTCAAGGCCAGCCTGCACTACATAGTGAGACCCTGTTTCAAAAAACAAAACAAAACAAAACAATCACTGTGCTCTATTGGTAGGGACAAGAAGCAGTTCCTCAAGAAACTAAGGGAATTGTCATATGATCTAGCAATTCCACTAATAAGTATATATCCCAAAGAATGAAAAACAGGGTCTTGAAGAGATGCACGTATACTCATGTTTGTAGCAGTTTTATTCACAGTGGACAAAAAGGTGAAAGTGACCCAGTGACTATTGACTGATGAATGGATAAACAAAATGTGGTGTATACCTACAACGGATATCATTCAGCCTTTGAAAGGAAGAACACCCAGCATATACTACAACATTAACAGTGTTGTTTCTTTTTTTTTCCATTTTTCTCTTTTTTTTTTTTTTTTTTTTTCAGTACCAGGGATCAAACTCAGGACCTTGTGCTTGCTAGGCAGGGGTAGTGCCACTGAGCTAAATCCCCAGCCTGATTGTAACATTAACAAACCTTGTACTAAGCTCAATAGGCCATTCACAAATGAACAAATGTATGATTCTGAAGTCTCTAGAGTAAACAAATTCATAGAGACAAAAGTAAAATGGTGGCTGTCAGGGACTGGAGGAGGGAGGAATGGGGAGCTGTTATTCAATGGATATAGAATTTTTGTTTTTCAAGATGAACAGAGGTCAGGAGACTGGTTATACAGCAATGCGAATATACACAGTATTCCTGAAGTATATGCTTAAAATGGTTAAAGTAGGGGCCGAGGATTTAGTTCAGTTGTTCCACCACCTGCCTCACAAGTGCTAGGTCCTGAATTTGATCTCAGGTACCAAAACAAAAACAAAAACCCAAAAAATAAAAATGGTTAAAGTAATACATTTTATGTCATGTGTATTTTTTTATAACAGAAAGAGATATTCTGAGAATAATTAGAGAAATGTGGGTATTTGGTGATGCCAAAGAATTATTATAGATTTTGTTAAATGTGTCAGTATCATGGGCTGGGGATGTAGCTCAGTGGTGCCATGTCTGCCAGGTAAGCACAAGGTCCTGAGTTTGATCCCAGGCACCCCCCAATGACAATATCATAGTGGTAATATATTTTTTAAAATTTCCATATCTATCATTAGCCAATTCCAAAGTATATTGGTTTGAAATGACTGGTGTCTGAGATTTGTCTTTAAATATCTAGGCGGACCGGGGATTTAGCTCAGTGGTTCCGGTGCTGGCCTCACAACCACAAGACCTAAATTCAATCCCCAGTACCAAAAAACAAACAAACAAATAAATAAATATCTAGGCAACTTACAAGGGAAAAAATAGTTTATATGACGTAAATGTGACCATTATTAGTTGCTGAATTGGAGGTTCATTTTATAACTCAATTTTTGTATTTGTTTATTTATTTACATTGTACTGGGGATTGAATCTAGAGCCTTTCCCCTGAGCTACTTTTTCCCCCCAATTTTGAGATAGAGTTGCATTAAGTCCCCAAGGCTGGGCTTGAACTTGGGATCCTCCTTGGATTACAGGAGTGTACAATCACATTTTCTACAAAGCTGTTGTTTGAGGACCTGCTTATTTCATTGGTCCAGGCCAAAGGGACAATGTAAAGGTAAGCTAAGCACAGTGAAAGAACCAACCTAAAGCCCAGAGAAAGATCCAATGCACAAATGGAATATACCGGAGTCAGAGAGCAGAGCACTGGGCAGCAGATGTAAGGGCCTGTGCTAAAGACAGCAAGTTCTACAAGTTCTGAAAACAGGCCTCCGTGGGCTGGTCATCTTCATAGGGCTTCTGGAAGCAGATGTCCTGGCGGTGGGCTCTTAAAGCTGGTGGAATGGGCAGGTGGAGATCAGTAGGAGGAACGGGAGATTCAAGAAGTAAGGGAATAAAGTATGTGGGTGGGGAAAGCAAGAGGCATTATGGCCATACAGGCCAGACAGGGCCAGACATAGGAGGAGTGATTGGGTCCCTAGAACTCAACTGCAGCGGGTCTCTGTGCTGTGTCTGGTGGGAAGGATTGCTGGACCAGAGTAGATTAGTTTAGTGGTTACATTCGAGGTGGAATACAGAAGTGGAACAGCATAGCTGCCATTTCTACTTCAGACAACTGCTCACAGAAAAATGAGAAAGGAAGTGACACCTAACCAGCAGGAGGGACTCTGTGGTCTCCAAATTTCCTCTTTCCTCAGATCAAACCCCTCCAGATCCGTTCCAGGGGCCTCTATCCGAAGCACACAAGCATCAATTCAACTGGCCAGGACCCACCTCTGAGGGCCTGCTTCAAGGCCAAGGTCCCTGAGGGCAGCCTCATATCCTCTCTGGGGCGGTTTGGCTCTGCTAGCTTATCCCTAAGTGAAGAGGAACATGTGTTTAGAACGTGAGCCTCACTGACTTCAGATTTACCTCTTTCCAGAGCATCACTATTCAGTAGAAATACAATCTGAGACGTATGTGTGATTCTAAATTTTGCAGTAACAACTTTTAAAAAAAAGTAAAAAGAGGCACTGGGTACAGCCTAGTGGTGGATTGCTTGCCTAGTATGTACAAGGACCCGTGTTTATTCCCTAGTATTGCAGGTGGAAATAAAAAGTAACTAAAGAATGGAAGTGACATGAATTGTAATAATATATTTAATTTGGTCCAATACATCTAAATTATCATTTCAATATGCAAATCTATTTTTAAACTATTAATGATATTTTTACATTTTTTCATATCGAGCCTTAGAATCTAGTGTGCATTTCATGCTTACAGCACATCATCAGTTTGGAACTGGTGGCTACCTTATTAGATTGAGCAGCTTTGGAACCTGGCTACACAGTGTGGGCCCTGGGCCAAGAGCATCGATGTGCAAGGTTAGAAATGACGACTCTCAGCCCCTACTTCAGATCTGCACTTTGGTTGTCTCCCTCAGTGATTCA